AAAAACCTAAAGCCAAGCCATAAAGAAGTAGACATCGGTGTAGAGGCGGCAAAAAAGAGGGGAGGGGGGCAGGCGCAGAAAATGGGTGATTTCGGGGTTCATACCAACCGCCCGCTTAAGCGGGCCCACCGTGGCCGCTTGGCCTCGGAAGAGCCCACCCATGAGAGCGATCTGCACCAAGACACGACAGGCACCGTGCACACCCTCACCGAAGGTGTGGAGCAGTAGGGTGCCCAGCCCGCCCCACGCGGGATCGGCTCCACACACCGCCACATTGATGGGCAATATGGTGTAGAACTGCGTTTCACAGGGAGCCCGAACGCGTCAAGGCGCCAGCACATCCGTGACTCCGTGCACTGAAATGTGCACGGAACAGCTGCGCTGGCGCCTTAGTGAACAGCAAATCTTCTTACCGTTGCCAAGACCCTGCGACAACGAACCACACAATTGATGTCAGCCGATTCCCGCGAAAAACGTCTATGCAACATACGGCCAGCTTGGCAAGCAGAGGCTGCTACTTATAAAAGAGCATCGATAATGGGTCTACAGGATGCAGCAGCGAGCAGCAGGGGCCCTATATAGCGCAAGGCCAGCCTCAGCATCCCAGACTGCAAAGTCCCCGAACCTTCACCGCTGCCCCAAAGCCCAATCACGGCACGCACCAGTACACTATCGCGCAGAACGCGATGCAATCTAACATTCTTGCCAGCAATATGGGCTTGGCGAGAGCAAAGTCACTACTTAGTTGAGAAGTGGGTGAAGGAGGTGCCTGAAAGTGATATGGGACAAGATGAAAGTGATATGAAAGTGTTGTAAAAACTAGTTTGAAAATGGATGATACATAACTGAAGTAAGAATGAAAGTACAGGAAAGTCGCAAACCCACCAGTCCCCAAGCTGGGCCCTACGGCCGAGGCGCCCGCGGACACTTTTTCGCGATGTTGTTTCGGTACTCGCACCGTGCGTGTTTACCTGAAATTTTGTGGACATGTTATGTATGTAGTAAGGAGCTTATAATCCAAATTTTGGCCTAAACATGCACTGCGCACCCTTAGTTACGGGGTGTCGCGTGGGGTGGGTATTCCGGCCGTCCTTACGCTGGCTGTCCCGCGGAAAGCCGACCAGCACGGGCCAGCCGCCAGCCTCCTGAGCGCCCAAACGTTGACAAAGTAACATTATACACGTATTACACATAAATAAATGCAAGCGGTGCTTACATTATCGTTTTACCCGTGCACAAGGGGACCGCAAAATGACCCTTGGGTCAGTGGAAAAACACACCAACCCGACGTGCCCCTTTTGGCATTAGTTCAGCCACGAGCTCCACCGAGGTGGGAAACGAGTAAAGTCCAACTATTCCAGTTCGCAAACCGCCTGCAGTGTTCTTCCGTCAGCCCACTAATTCGGCTCGCTGTTTTGTCAAGTGTGCTGTCCCACCACATGCCCACACTTGCAAAGCTCGCCACAGCCAACGACGCATTATGTACAATAATGCCGGGACACGAACCGCCTTCTCCGGAAAACACGTGTCAGGCTCAACAGGTTTCTCTTCATGCCTAGCCCCATGCAGTGTGAAGGACAAGGGGTCACATCTATCCTGCAGTCAACCCACGCAGCCTGTTGTGCTGTCACACGGATATATCCGCTGCCGACTTGATGATGCAATCATGGCTTGCTTCGATTTTGACTATGCACCGGTCGCGCAGGTCGTGCAGGCACGGCGTCGGCCTCGCTGCTCCCCCAGTTGCTCCCCCAGTGCCAGTTGCTGTCCAGCTCCTTGACGTCATAGCTGCGATTGCGTCGCGGTGGGTCCACCCTGTGGGACCCCCGCAACTCGATTGGCCTCAGCCGCATCACGGCGAGCCAGTCCACCTTGTCCACCATTTGCATGATAAGGTCCATCGCCGGTTTGTACCCCAGCAGCTGCACCAGCAGCGAGAAGAACGTTTCCACGACGTTGGTGTTGTCTGCCCAGTCGTTGTAGTCCCGTTGATGTGGGGCATGTGCCCGTAACAAGGCCAACACCAACACGCACCCAGCCGTTGCAGCCCCATCCCCCATCCCGACCGGGCAGGTGCCGCGTGCACCAGAGCCTGCGGCCCCAGCGGGCTTTCCCGATGTTCCCCGCCCTCCTCGCTCCCCGTTTCCAGGGCGGCCAGTCCCCTCACCGCCATCCACGTCCATGCAATCGTGTCCCACATCTTCCATCACAGCGTCAAGAGGCGGCCGCAGCTCTGGCCAGGGTTGAGCTGCTGCAACCGCGCTGCGGGTCGCTACGCGCCGCGACCCCAAAACGGGCGCACCATGGTCGGCCGCTAGCCGAGAACCCTCCGGAGCGCGCGGACCCCGCGAAGTGGGCACATTGGTTCGCCGTGCCGGAAGCCACGGCAAACGCCGAGCGCATACTGCTGCCGCTGGCTGGCTATTATATTCACAAAGTGCCTCCTTGGCGTTATTGTAATGCTTCACACATAAGAGGTCGCCCTTCGGCCCTGCCGTCTGGGCAGGGCCGGCTGCCGGAAAACAATGGGGCAGGAAAGTCTCGCAAAAACGCTGTCTTTGCTCGGGAATAAGTCTAGAGAGCTCAGAGGGTAATTGTTTGACATATGTTGCGTCAAACCACTTTACAACATGAAGGTTTTAGGTATATAGGTGGCATCTGTTGAATCCCAGCCCATGGGGTGCGGCGACGGCTGCGATTCAACATGGAGGAGATCGCTCCCAGCCAAATCGGGTGTACGGCAGGTCAGCTTGGGGACTGGCCCCCTATCAGTACGGCAGGTTCCATAGTTTTTCCAGCCGCTCGCGTAGTCCTCAAGTCTGTACTAAACTCAACAAGGCCAGATGGGGAGTCTGCTCTGCTGATCACGTAGGAAGTCAGGAACCTGAAAACCGTGTTGACCCGCAACATCGGCACTTGCTGTGCCCAAAACAGCCCTTCAAACGTTACAATTTGTTAGGTCTTATCATATAGGGATCATGGGTCATGGAATATAAATTGACGCGCATCTGGCTGCAACCTGACACCCAATTCACATAACACAAGGTGGGAGGGTGTAAGTAAGGAATAGCTGTTACATATTCACCCGTATTTTACTCATAATCTTGCCTTGCCTAGCAAGCATCGGACGTCGTCCCTTCAGGGCTCCCTTGCTGAACATCTTACATCGTCCCACACCCGGCTCCCGACCATCTGCAAAACCCAAAACTCACATACTATGCTAAAATATACATGATTTACGAATCAACCTACGTCTACAGTACCAGACTTCTACAGCAGCCTGCACATTGGCAATGCAGCACGTTTAGTGTGCTTGCAAGGTCTCTGGTAAAAGTAGAACTCTCTAAAGCCACGGCGCCCCTAAAACCCCTCAAGCACACCCTCAAGCCGAAGGGTCAACACGCAAACTGTGAAAAGGGCATGCAACAGCTGACCAGACTGCCCTGCCTCCGCAGAGCGCTGGGGCCCCCTAAATGGGTAACAAGTTCTCGAATCATAGTACTGCTATTAACATATTTCCACAACACACTGAAGCAATACTGACTGACTCAACGCCACGGTAAACGACCAGCACGGGGTAATGTACGGCCTGGCCCTCTGTACGACATCACAGTCCTACCACCTTGCCTGGTGCTATGACATCTCCCCAACAAACCCGCAACCCCCGGCGGGGATTTCCATTGGGGAAATCAGAAACTTGTTGCAGGGGATACGTCACACAGGTCAAAGCCTCCGCACCCCGCAACCCATCGCGAGGCCAAGTGTTCATTCATCAAAGCACGGACGTTGGACCTGCAGCTTCATGGATCGGCGCGGCGTGTGCAGAGGGGATGTAAGCTGAGCGAGATCTTGCGGGAAACGGGGACGGACATTGGAACGATGAGTCGTCGTCGTCATGTGCCGATTTGCAAGATCAACACCCGACATACATACATACTCACTCACACAAAACCCAAAGGACACCAAAGCGCTCGACAGACAGACACACACGCCGCTCCCTTTGGGGTACGGTTAGGTGCCGCTGGCCAGTGTCAGGCCCGGATCGATATGTAACACATACACACATACGTACATACATACACACTCTCACACGAACACAAACACACCCTACCAGTTATGGACGCCCTAGGGCTTACCCTCCCCCCCGTACTCCCCATGAAACCAAAGGACTGATGGATTGATCCGTTCCATGCTGGGTTCGAGCACGGGGCAGAACTGAGGCTTTTGCTCGGCATTATCAACACTCTAATATTAAACACAACACAACACGAACACGGAACAATTACTTTATGCTCTTTCATTGTTTGTCGTGACCATCGTTGTAAGCCTTAACAGACGTAATGTACGATTTATGATCGCGCCGTCTCGCGGTGCATGTGGGTATTGGATGTGGGTATGCGCGCGTTACTGTCGTATTGCCGTATATCCGCGCGCCAATCAATATAACGTTCCTTCAATGAGGGTTTCAAATGGCTGTACGACACAAAAAATTAAACGCATGCATGAGCACGTATAAAATGGCCGACTAAATCACAAATATAAAACACGTGCAAATGCTCAAGAGTACACACTTCCTTTCTAATTCTTTTAGTATAATCGTTAGTTTTGCTCCATGTCGTACACTAAGACACGCACGACCCCCAGGTTTCATCTCGTACATTACACACATAACGCCGTAACGCCACTGCACCGTCACCATCACTAGGTTCGTTCCCGCCCAACCGTGTCGTTCCCTGCCCTAAAGGTCGTATACTTTGGCCACAACACATGGAGCACGCATCCCGTCTCACATCACCTGTGTGCTAAACACGCACAAGCCGTGTGCAAGCAACTGCATCACCACCCGCACCAACCACTAATTAACCGCGACGCAGTACGACACAGTACGACGACACGGCCTGACCCCGCGCTTGCGCATTTCCCTTACTATCCGTTTCCCCATCTGTCATTCTGTCTGTCTGTCAGTCCGCCTGTCTGTCTGTTCCGTACGACTTCCGTACTTAGTCCCACAACCGAGGACACTTGGCGAGCTCTCGCGTGTTGCAGCAAATCGTCCCCCCGGGGTTGAGCAACCGGCCCCGCCGCCGTACACATCTCCCGCAGCTCTGAGCCCCCGGCGTGGGTAGTGCCGAGTGGGAGCACAAGGCCTGACGAGACGCCGCTGTAGCGGTGGTGGCTGTAGCCGCCGCCGTCAGCGTCGCAGTCGCCGAAGGCGACGGCGGCGGCGGTGAAGCCGGCGCCGGCCCCCGCCGCCGCTGTGGCAGCGGCCGCAGCCATTGACTGCTCGCCGCCAGAGTCCGCTGCAGTCCGCCAGACTTGCCCGCCTCCGCCGCCGCCGCTACCGCCGCCGCCGCCGGCGGCGGCGGCTCCCTGCACTCCATGAACGCCGCGAAAGCGGCATCCACATACTCGTACTCCTCCGGCGCCACATTGGGATACGTCGCCCGCATGCGCAGCACCTGCACCAGCGTCTCAAAAGCGTCGTACGCGCCGTCTTCGCCAAACACGCTGCCGTACAACGACGACCAGAACAGGTGCTGCGCCGCGCACGTCAGCTCCGCCTGAAACCCCGCCACCTGCTCAGGCATCAACCTGTCCAGCAGCTCATGCATCACGGGGAGATCCCTCTCCCTCACGCCGACCGCAAACCGCTCCCACCGAAGCTCCGGCTCGAAGGGCTGCATCAACCCATCCGTCACAGGTACTGGAACGCACCCCATCAACGGCGCCAAGACGCTGCGTTTCCCCTGCCCGCCGCCGCTCGGCGCCAGGCAAAACTTCGCCGTCGCCATTTCCGCCGCCGGCGCGCGCGATGCGGTCACCAGCTTCCAATTCGCCCGACCGTGGTGATAGAAATACGCGCGCTGGCGTGTCGCGGCGGAGTACGCGTCTTCACTGCCGAGAACGTTGGGGCAGTTGGGATAGGTGCCGTTAAGAGAGGGCGTCGCGCGGGATCCGCAGATTCGCCCCGCGAAGAACAGAGTGGTGGTGCGTTCCGGACGGGGCCCCGCGGGGTGAAGCGGGCTGGCGCGGGGCAGCTGGTACGTGGAGAGGAGGCTGGCGGCTAGCATGAGCGGCAGGACGACGTCCTTGCCGGGACGGTGTGATTGCCTCCAACCTGCAAACTCATGATCCCGCGCAAGGCCCCAGTGGGTCAGCCACGTGGCGTTACGTGTAAGCAGTTGCGCGTCTTCCGATAGCTCGTCACGGCCCCAGTCGCCAGTGTGTACGAATATATGTCGGCCGCCGCCGCGCGTGGCGTTCCAATACGGCCACACCGAGCGAATGTAAGACACGGCCTGTATGACGCGGTCGCTGTCGTATGCCATTCGTACACGGATGGGGACGAGGAAGAAGTCCGCCGAGGCGGCGTCGGCGACGCGCAGGCCTGCGGAGAGGAGACGCTGCCAGATGAGGTACATGAGGGGTCGATCCAGACGATCCAGATTTTGGAACGTGTTCATCTCTGGGGGCAGTTCGTACACGTAGATCCGGGGTCCGGAGGGTCGCGGTGTGTAGTTCTGTCCGGCGAGAAGCTCCATGAGGACGCCGCCGGCGATGCCGCCGCCGGCAGCGGCGGCAGCGGCGGCGGCGGCGGCGGCGGCGCCGCCGTCGGCCCCTGGCGGCTGCATTGCCAGAGACAGCGAGCAGTCCGCACCAAAGTATCCCGGCTGGCAAACACACACGCCGCCGACGCAGCGGCCGCGGAAGTTGCAAGCGTTGAGGCACAGCGCCAGCTCAAGTTCCACAGCGCATGTGGCGTTGGTGTGGCCGTTAGCCGCGCACAGCTGAGTCAGCTCTGACGCGGGAAGTTGGGACGCGCAGTCCTCGCCGACGCGACCCGGCGGGCAGTCGCACCTGCCCGGTAGATTTTTCCCCCGGGGCCCCCAAGAGTGAAAGGTGCCCCCCGGGGTTGGGCATGTGGGGATGGGAGAATAGGGGGGTGGGGGATGGGGGGATGTGGGAATTGGGGAATGGGGGGATGAGGGGATTGTGAGAAAAACAGAGGGAAACATGGTTCTTGGAGCAGAGCAAAAGGTACTTTGGGGCTGATTGCCATTAGCAATGCAGTTCGGCGTTGCGAACCCGTGCTTGGTTCTGTTGTGAAATGGGAATAGGTAATTGGATGGCTGGACAGGTAAGGGTTGTCGGCAGGAGGAGCACCGAGGCGAGCTTTGATGTGGGACATTGGGACAGGCAATAATTGTTCGGAAGCAGATGTGAAACCATGTTAATCGCCCACCTGCCGAGCTCTTCATAGCAGGTACCATACTTGGTGCAATGGCCAGGGCAAGTAGAGCGCCTCGGCGGATTGTCGATGACATTGCCGGTGGTGAGCCTTTCGCTGTTGCTCCTCCTGCTATTGCTTTCTACGTCAGTTATGTTGTTCGCTTTCGATCCGCCGCTCGTTTCCCTGGCGCTCGCGAGCTGCCGCAGGGGGAATGTCGTGGCGACGATAAGTGATGGTTCCGACGAAAGCTCGCCTGGAGCGTCATCCTGCATGCAATTGCTGCTACAGATGTTATATGCCACATGCTTAACTGGAAGGCTTTCTGGTAAAAGTCAAGGAGCGACAGCCACCAAAGTAGTTGAACAGACGCAGCCCGGAACCACCTTTTCTTTTGCAAGCGAAGCCACGTTGACTAGCGTAAGGGTTATGAACAGATAGGAGATGGGTTTAAAGCACCTAACGTCACAAGCCATATCTAGGCTCATGACGCCCCTGCGAGCCTTGTCAGGACAACGCAAAAGTTGCATAGAGTGAAGAACTGCATACTTTCTAGTTCTAAGACCGTTATTGGAGCGCAGTCAAGGGTGTAAAGGTACAAAGCGCACTAATGGATGTAGCAGCGCCGTAAAACGAATACGTGAGTGAGTCTGACCCTAGGGACAGTTGGTCATGAGCTTCGCTTGCACCTGGTGATAGCATAGCTAACAAGTATAAATCAAAGGTATGATGCAAGCTCGCAGAGCCATTCAAGCCCTTCACAAGAACAGACGCGCTGCGAGGCGTTTCTCACAGAGACCTTGTTTTCCGTTAATAAAGGAGCGACAAGTTCCAAGAAATAGAGCATTAAATAGCATAGATGTTCTCACTGGTGTCGGTTTATCCGATGATGAGGCCCATCGGGTTTTATCTGCCTGCCCACCGCTTCAATTAAATGGGGATCTGCTTTCAAAAAACTTAACATTCATGAAGGCTGTCTTCAAGCCGCGTCATATCGTCAAACTCCTCAGCCGACGACCTGAGATCTTTACAACTCCTTTAGAGGAATGGTACCAGTTCCTAGCAGGTAAGGAACCAGAGACGACTATTGTCATTTGGCCGGACCACTAGAAGATTACGCTGCGGCGGCCCAAGTTTCCCGCTGCGGTCAGCGATAGCATGCTGCCGTACAGTATATACGTGTGACTTAGCGACTGAGCTTGTACCAGTCCCACATGGCATGAAGCTATCCAGCCAGCATTGCCGCTTCGCCCGCATTCCTGAAAAATGGGCAAGAAAACAGGCAGCAGAGGCCCTCCAAAGGGAGGCGACTGCACCGCCCGCGTCCAGGGAGGGAGGGGGCCCCCGAAGGCGGGAAAAATACTTTACTGTTTTTGATTTCCTTAGATCATCGGGTTCGGTGGCCGAGGGTGACTGCTGGCTAGGCGAGCCCCCACCTGCGTCGCCCCACCACCACCGTGCCCCACGTCGGCGAGGGGTTTTAGGCGGTGACAAGAGGGGCGGTAAGACGAACCACTTGCAAATGAAGCACATTACCAGAGATAGACGGATAGTCAAGTAGAAGAGAAATGCTGCAGGGTGAAGACAAATGTTGAGGGGCTGTCAATATCCCCAGTGGGCCGTTTCAGCGTCCCCCTAGAAAGTTCTAGAAGGTTCGGACCTAACGGCCCCGTAACCTCACGTCCACGCATCTGCTACTGCGGTGGAGGTGGGTCCTATAGATTTGGCAAACGGCCGCTGCTCTAGCCCTCAAAGAAGGAAGAGAACTAGCAAGCGGCGACTCTCAATTACATAACGCCAAAATAAAACTTATCATCTAAGTTTGGATTCAGAAAAGAAAGGAAAGGAAGCGACTAAGAGAAGTGCCGAAGAGAGGAAGGAAAAGTGAATTGCCGTACAGTCCCCGAATGAGTTTGCACCTCGGAGACGTAATCATGCGGTTATGAGTAGTACGACTTGACACCTAAAAACCCGGCACGCCCTAGCTCTCTCCCCCCCAGCAATCTCCGCACAATCTCACGACGGGAAGTTGGAACGGGAGATAATGTCCCCGTGCCCTTCAGGGACCGTATAGTATCACCTAAAGGGGAGGGGAGTCGCTAGGTGGGCGGAGGGATGGGTGGGTGGTAGTGGTAATGGTAATGATAGTGGTAATGGTAATGGTAATGGGTAGTGGGTGGGTGTTGTAAGCCCAATGGATTCCAATGTTATGTGTAGGCGCGTCTGCTAGTGCTACTGCTGATGCTGATGCGGCTACTACAGTCACTGTTGGTGCCTGTTAGTGTCTCTGCTACTGCGACTGCTCCACCTGCTGTTGCTGCTACTGCTCCTGAAACGATCATCCGAAACTTTTAGGGTATGGCTTGGACGACGCGGCAGTGTGGAAGGTGCTGTGCTACAGCCCGGGACTGCTGTTGCGGTCATCTGCTGCTGCAGCCGCCGACGACGACACGTCTGCCGCTACTGCCGATGGGGCTACGGGCAGCGGCGGCAGCAGTGACGGGAGTGGTGACTGCAACATTATTGTTGCGGGGAAGGCTGCTGCTTTCAACACGCCGTACAACGCCGGTGCCGCCATTATGTTTTTCAAGTCGTACGGCTGGACGGATCAGGAAGTTATACGGCAGCTTCTGCCGTGCTATCCGGAAGTACTGGCGGCGACGCCGGAGGAGCTGCAGGTGCTGGTGGCGGATGCGTGTCGGTGTGTGTCTCGTGGGCGTGACGTGTCATGTCTCTAAGACTTTAGTACGACATCAGCGATCTGCCGTACGAATGTCGCCATGTTTTCATTCATTTGTTGGACTCTTTAAGTCCCCACACACACAACTAGGGGCCTCTAGGACGGCTCCATCCCGCCGACGGCTCCATCCGCCGCCCTTTTTAATATATATATATATACACACGCACACATCCACGCGCGTCGCTTGCCCCCGGCCCCGTACAGGCCACGGTGCATTTCCTAAGATCTCGTAAATTTGACGAGCAGTCCATTCGCAGGTGAGAGGCTTCGAGCGGTCGTCAGGGAGAAGGAAACGCCTTTGGGTTCCTTGAAATGTTCGTGTATGTACGTATGTATGTATGTATGTTTGTTTGTTTGTATGTATGTTGTTACAGGGTGGTTAACTTCGCCAGCGGCCCCCTTTCCCGGGGCAGTCCCTGCTCTCCCCTGCTAGAGGGGCACCCTAATCCGTCACCCCATCCGACTTCAGAATGTATTCGTTGGGTTTGGCAACTCACCACCAGCATTCAACCAAATCTAGCGGATCAACGGCGCATCAACTTAGTGTTTGTATGTATGTTCATTTGTTTTGTTTGTCTGTTTAAATGATTCGAGCCGCAATGTATGCGTGGATTTTCCCCTCCCCCTCCCCCTCCCACTCCCCCATTGCTTCAGAATGGTACTGGAGTTTCCGCTTCTGTTCGCCCCCATTCGCCCCACCACCACCAACGCCACCAACGCCGCCGCCAACGCCACGGATTACGCGCAGCAGTCCCTGCTGCAGCTCATTGACCGCATTCGTGCATCAGCACACAACAAGTATGTGGTCAGCGGGTCGTACCACGTCTGAGGCTGAGGACGAGACGCATTAGCATGGGAATGCGGACGGCGATTGAGGGTTCCAATTGGATTGGATTATTGAATAGGAATATTGGATAGGGTTGGGGATTGGTATATATAGGGAGGCCAGGCACGTCGCGCTGAGGCGCTTCACCCTGAAGCGGACGAGGGAGAATGAAGATGACCTCCCGCGTACCCGCATCAATACCAATACAACGTCCATGGGCCCCCCGGCTTTTACGGACACACCCGCACTTGTGTGCGGGACTTGTAACTATAGGTCGGGCACTACTGGTAGAGCGCGCACCGATGCCCCCGGGAGATCCCGGGATCGAGACCTGTCAAGGTCGAAATTCCTTCCCATAGTATGCCCCTAGTCGATGGACGGTGGTGACATGGGATGAAGTGATCTTGCGAGCTGACCAGGAATGGAGTTGAGCCGTCGTCGATCCGCCAGATTCCGTTGGATGCCGGTGGTGGGTGCGGAACCTGAGCGATCCACTGAGAAGTTGACTAGGGTGACTAGATGAGGGTGTCCCTAAATACCGGGGAAGGCAGGGTTTCGCCGGGTAGCGGCCGCAGGGTGAAGATATGCCCCCCTGTCCCACACATCATACATACATACAGGGACACACAGACGCTTGGCAAAGTTCGACAGCAGGTGCTCTTAGTCCACGTGTTACAGTTGGTTGTTGGTCGTTGGTTGTTGGTGATCCTGAAATAGAAGGAAATCAGTTTGTGATGATTTGAGATTTGCGCGTTTCTTTGTGTGTTTGTATATCTGTCTCATATGTCGCCGCAAGGGAATGATTGACAGCATGGCTGTACGACCTATGCTACAGGGTTTTATGGCTTTTAAGCTTTAAATTTCAGGTTATTGCTGCAGGTTGCAGGTGAGGGATGGCAGGTGCTCTAATTTAAATGACTTCCGGAGGACGATGTTGTATCCCCCTCCTCCATATCGAATACGAAAAGCAAGGCATTCAGGCTTTCTTAGGGTTTAGTCTTTTCCTCGGTCACGTGTCTTCACGATTTCATATTCTACATCACCCGTTTCGATCTATTATCATTACCTATCATCCCGCCATAAAGTATTAGCTGAGGTAGGATGGGAAGGAAGAGGAGGAGGAGGAGGAGGAGGAGGAGGAGGAGGAGGAAGGGGGTGGGGGAAAGAGGGCAACAAGTAAAGGTAGGGTGCGTGGATGTAGCGATGAAACGCAATGCATCAGGGTCAACATTCTCTAGGGCACTCGATGGACCTTAGAAACCTCATTGGACATCTTAAAACCTGCTATGACGACAATGGCAGGAGCGGTAGTGGCAGGAGCAACAGCGGCATTGGAGAGGTGGACAGCAGCAGCAGTTGCAGTGGCGGCAGCGGCGGTGGCGGTAATGCGGCGGTGGCGGCGGTGGCGGTAACGCAGCGGCGGCGACGGCAACGGCGGGGTCTGATTTCGTCCGTCTGTCTGTCCGTCCCAATCTGTCAACCAACCAGCCAGCCAAATGGTCCATCCATCAGTAATAGACAGTTGTTCGTTCCTCCGTTAGTTCGTTAATCATTCCATTCCCGGGTCATCCACAGGTTAACCGGCGGGAACAAGGAAGAGAAGTGGCCCTCGAAGGAGGCTCGCGCCTGAGGACCCTCCCTGGACACGTCCAGACCGCCTTTGAGGACCAAAGGGGAGGGGGTTGGATTAATAATACGCAAGCAGCAAAGGGTCAGCGACAATTGGGGGAAGGGATGGCAAAGGGGGAGAGGTTCGTGATTGTTCGTGGATGGCTGTCAACAACTCGCGCGGCATCCTTGGGCCGGTGGCAATAGCCAGCATCTCAAACGTTTTAGGTCTTAAGTTAGCGCATTGGGGAGCTTTGGATTGCTGGTGTCAGAACTAATTGGGACTGCGTTCATTGATTGGGACGTACGCGAGCCAGCCGACGGACCCGCTTGGAGTAGCGCTGGGTTGATTTCGAGGATACCATTTCGGGGGAGCCCAAGCCTGGGGCTTGCTGGTTCCGATGCCACCGCTGGTGCTGCTGGTGTTGCTGCTGGCCGCGGGCGCTGCCGGAGTGGCCGATGGGATGGGAGAACTGCGCGCGGCGCGGAAGGGAGCGCAGCGGCTTGCAGGATGCCGAGCATCTTTCGGCGCCGAGGAGGTGAAAGGCTTGAAGTGTTGCAACCGCATATTTCAAGCTGAAGCGCGGAAGGACAATTGCAGCTCGGTGACTCGGAAGGGGCAAAGCCCGTGCCCGGAGCTGAAGAATGATGACTTCCGATAGATAGGTATATTCACCTAAGACTAGGTGGTGAAAGGACTGCTTAATCTTTGGCCTACAGCAGCTGAAAGACAGCTGCTGTCTTTAAGGTCGGTGGAGACCGTTGCTTTAATAAGAACAAGTGCAGATAGCCCGAGAACGTATGTGATCCGACGCAGTTAATTGGTTTCTTGCAAGCCCTACCGGTCCACATTTTTCTTAACTAAGCCGTACAATGGACGAGACTCCGATATCCAAGTCCGAATTACAGTCCGAGTTGGCCCGCTATGCGCGTCGCAACTGATATCCTTTTGGTCAACGCTATACGTTTGCAATATATACTGATAGCGGTTACACGCGCAAGCCCTACGCCAAACCGACCTCCTCATGTGTTAGACCGACAGATACACCACGCCTATCGTTTCAAACGTTTAGCCCGTGTACCCTTACTTACGCCTTTACCTTAAGCATCTGATGCAATACCCGGAACGGATTGGCAAAAGGAGCGACGCCTACACGCTGCTACCCGACATGGATTCCATGGCGGAGGAGAACGTTTCGCTGCTAGCGCCAGGACAAACCCATAGCATTAATACCGGGGACGCCATCGCGCCCAATCTACGGCCTTTACGAAAACAGATCAGCATGGATGGGGCAGGTACCGGCGAACCCCCCGAGGATTCAGCGCTGCGCAGCGCAGTCAACGCGGTGCGCCTATGGAAGTCTAACACTAAGCGTGCCGCCGTGACGCGCCATTTGCGCGACGTCATAGAACAGGTGCTGGAACGGCATAAGCCCGGAACTGCCCCCGGCATCGATCCTCGGCGTAGCAAATATCAACATCTCGCCTCCAAATGGTGTCTGCCCGCCAAAATCACCATCGTGGACTTTGACTCCAAGTAAGCGCACATCAGCAGCTCCATTTCGCGGCAACAGTGTGGGCGGCAGCACGATAAGCTTTCTCCCCTCACAGCATCTTGAACAATCGTTGCCATGTGGTCCTCGTCAAAATGATGTGTGTTCTGACCTGATCTGCCATCTGGGTCGGCAGCCTAATTAATGCGCATCATCATACAACTCGGCTTTGTTCTTGTACGGCAGCAACCAAAGACCTGGACTTGCACGCAACCCAGTGTATCAGGTGCCCGCACCGGAAATATTGTAAACATTTTCCCCACCTCCCCCCCACAGCTCTTTACCCGCATCTCCTCGCCTGCCTTTGCTGATTGCACACCAGCAGTCAATCCACTTTTAATTTTCACTCACTTTTTTTTATCAAAATCTCAACACATGCATCCAACCTCGCATGTATCCTCTCTCTGTTTTCAATCACCACCACCACATCATCATCATCAACCACCATTATATTACCTCAATTTTCCGAATCCGAGTACCTTTCAACTCCTCTTGCCCGCGCCACTGATTTACATCTATTTCCTCTTCCTTCACAAATACAGGGAGATGTCCATACAGTCGGGTCTAGACAGTTCCGAGCAGCTGTCGGCCTTCCTGAGCCGACCTCGGGAGCGACCCAGATCACGCGCCCGGTGGATCCACGTGGACGGACTGAACTGGGAGGTCGTTCACGTGGGTGGATTGCAGGCGGGAAGATGATGTAAACCACACGTACAAAATTCGTACTCGTATTCGTATTCGTCCTTGTACTTGTACTCGATATTATTGTACACAACAAGAATTGTATTGATACGAATTTTGCGGCATAAGGGGTGGAAGAGCCGCAGGATGTAGATGCATCCCCACCCCAATGGCCTGCATAACATGTATTCTGTTATACGCATTGCCTGGGTTTTAAATTGCACAAAACGCTTTACAGGCATATGAATTTTGAATGCAATGCTGTGTATCAGGTACTGGCGCTCAAGTTCAACTTGCACCCTCTGGCGCTTGAAGACACAGGTTAGGCTGAACGGGTTATGGCTGAGAGCGGGGTTGAAAGGGGGGGGCTGCAGGGTGTGAGGAGTACGGAAGCGGCGAGGGTAGGTGTATTACATTCGCGGTGAGGGCGGGGCAGCTTCCTGCCGGGGGTGGCGGGGAGAATTCATGATGGACATGTCTGAAGTAAGACATTTGGGATGCAGTAGTGAGGTGGGGTGGGGTGAAGGGTAACTTCATATGCAATTAAACCAGAAGTGAACTGCCACGGGGTCCAAATTCCGAAGCTTCCAAGTTCCGAGTTTTAAAGCGATGAAGCCCCGGGGTGCCGGAGAGGGGCAGCCCAGCAGGGGTGACGGGGCGAGCATTCCAGAAGGGGGGGCTGACGTGATCCAGATCTGGGTCTAGATCTGCATGCAATTCCGGATCCAGATCTTGACGATAACATAACCATGGATGGATTTACTTCAGTCCCGCCTCAATAATTCCCACACCCGATGCTCGTCTGTCATGTCTGTCACTTGCGCGTCTTTTTTTTGCACCCCTTTCGTAGTGCACGTGCCGCAACGTATCAAGGCCGATTTCTACGACTCCTGCCTCTACGTCTCCTTGATATACTTGTACCTGGCCCGCGGGGAGGGAAGCGACGACGCCGACAATGGTACACCCGTCACCGCCGCTCCCGTCACCGCCGCCACGCAGGGTCTCCGCCACCGTACGGCAGCGCCGCCGCCGCTACCATCCGCCGCTAACTCATCCTCACCCTCATCATCATCTCAGGCGCGGCCCCGGACCGTTGAGAAGGCTGAGGTGGCGGCGGCTGCAGCCCGGCCGCACTCAAGGCTCCATTCCGCTGCTGCTGCTGCTGCTGTTGCGGCGGCGGCGGCGCCGCCGCGGGATGTCGAGGGTCATGGCGGCTTCTACCCCCTTCCGGGGGTAGAGCAGCGTCAGCTGGTTGGCAGCCCGGGTCCAACACACTACCCCCTACCGTTGCGACGAGGCTGCATGAGCCTGCCGGCAAGTGCCGCCGCCACAGGAGGAGGAGGAGGAGGAGGTGACAGCAGCACCGGCTGTTCCTCGGTCCACGTGTCAGCTCAACAGGTGTCCTTGTTTCTACTTCGGGGCGATCACCCCAACACGCTCATCACGATCTTCCAGTCCGACGGGTCGCAAGTGACGGAGCCTATTTTGGCACAGCTCCGGGAGCAGCGGACGCTGGTGAGCAGCGCGAGAGGTCATGTTGGGGAGGAGGAGGAGGAGGAGGGGGAGGAGGGAGGGGAGGGGACTTGTGCGGGCTTGTAACAAGGGGGGATGAAGTCCGCCAAACCCCCAATTCCCCCTCGTCAACCGTCTGTGCTTCAACGTATCCCCCCAACCCCAACCCCAACCCCAAACAACACCACTCGGGATACGGATGCCTGTAGACATGCCCTCTCTAACGGCAGCTAGGCGGTTTCGTTTTTCGTCATTCTTTTTTGCATCATTCGGTTCTCATGCTGCTGGTCCCTCGCAGGTTCGTGAAGCAGAGGACGCGTCCTTCCTGGCGAATCTGGTGATCGACACTATCGTAAGAGTATGCACCAACACGTTACCGAGCTCACTAGAAGCTTCACCAGCAGTTTTAGGATGTTTTCCTTCGCTCGCTGCTCCGAAACCGGCAGCTGGATATCTGCCTCCCTTGTTTCGTTCTTTCCCCACTGAATCCTCGATCCTTTTCCCGATGTATGTATGTATGTATGCATGTATGCATGTATGTTTATCCCTGCTAGGTGGACCACATCTTTCCGGTTGTGGGCGCCTACCGCGAGCAGCTGCAGCAGTACGAGGGGACGGTGATGGCGAGCAGCGGCAGCTCCTCCTCCGCCTCCGCTGCCTCCACGCGGGAGCTCCACGCCATGCAACGCGACCTGCGGAGGATCGACCGGACCATCGCACCGCTGCAGGTAGTCGGGTGGGGCTTGCGGAAGAAAAAGGGGGATGTGAAGGCGGTGCGAAGGGAGTACGAAGGCGATATGGGGATGAAGGGTATGACGGAAGTGAAGGAGACGACTCCAGGGAGGCTTCGAGGCATGGGCCCAGGGCCCAACGTGCGGAAGACAACTCTTATTAAGAGACCGAGGGGTGTGTGTGATGGTGGTGTGTGGTGGTGGGGGTGAGACGACGGCAAAGCAGATCCTGGCTGGAATCGTCGAACTCGGTCTGGAAAAAGTAAAGGCTGCCTATTGGGGAAAGGGAAGGGATGGAATGCTGGTTACTAGGTGGATGAAGAGAGGAAGCCGCAAATACACTTCCTTGTTGATGACAGAATTATTTTGGAAACTTCTAGTGGACAACAGGTGGTGGTTTTAGGGTCAACTTACCGTACATTATCTTACCTTACCTTACCTCCCTTGCTCCGTCCCTCCGTCCCCACCGTACCCGCGGTAACACATATACACGCAACACAACACACGCAATCAGGCGGTGGTTGCCAACATGGTTTCTCGAGACTCAACGCCCCTCACCGCCGCCGCCGCCGCCACCACCTCCGCTCCTATTGCTGCCGCCAACGCCACCACCACCACCACCACCACCACCACCAACAACAACAACAACAACAATAATAACAACGCCGCGACAGCTGTCCCTTTCTCCACCGCCTCCCTAGTCGTCTCCGCGGCTACATGTCCCGGTCCAAGTCCCGGTCCTGGCCCCTTCCTGTCCCCCTTGACGTCCACCTACCTGAACGACGTCCGAGACCATGTGTCGACCATCTGCGAAGACCTGCTCAGTTTGTCCAGCGAGTGCGGCGACCTCATCGGCCTCATATTCAACCTCACCACGTTGCAGCAATCACAGTCCACTCAGGCGCTGGCGGTGGTGTCGACAATCTTCCTGCCAATCACCTTTCTCGCAGGGGTGCGTCGCCCTCGCCCTTTCGACACGCATCTCTCCTCCCTTGAAAGACAGAGGACGCGGAGCAGAAAAAGGGGTTTAGTTGGTGTTTGGTTGAGTCCACTGTGGCGCAGCATCGCAATTCCTCTACATGGTTTGGGGCCTCGCGCCGCCTGCTTCTGGTCCACAGGCCATAGAGCTTTACCTCTCCTCATTTTCTCACCTTGCTTTGCTTTCGTTCGTAACGTATCTTGTCTAGGGCGTCCTTGTTTTATAGTCTGTGGTAGTTAAACCGTCACCGCGGTGGTTCAGAAGGGGACAGAATTCAGTCTTGGTCACCGAAATGACACAAGAAGTTAGCCGTGGGTTAGTCGTACAGCACCTTCATGGACGACCATGAATGAGTCTGGTGGCGGCAGGGGGCGGAAAGGGGAAAAGGAAAGTCACCTATTGGAGGTGGAGGGAATGGTGGGTTTTAAAGGAAGCCCGGATGGATTGAGAGAGGAGGTAAAAGGGTCGGAAGGTGGAGAGTGGCCTAAGAGACGTGGGGTTGAAACACAAAATAGACGGTCAGGAATAGCTGATCGTCTCACTCCACGGGTGGGTTTACAAACGCCAACCCGACCAAATCCTCAACCAGCCAATCATCTTTCAACCAACCGAACCATTTTTCAAACCCCCCGACCACCGCCTTCCTATGGCTTCTGTTCCCCAGGTGTACGGCATGAATTTCGACATAGTTCCGGAGCTGCATTGGTCGTACGGCTACCTGTACTTCTGGTTGACCTCCATGGCCATCGTGGTGGTCTTCATGGTGGTCATGCAGCGAGCTGGGCTGTGGTCGTGGGCGGGGTCCGTGGTGAATCCGCGGTATCCGCCCTGAAAAGATCGTGATCTGGGCCCAAAAAAAACGTTGAAGAAAACTTTGCGTTTCTGTGAACAATACATCGCTGACGTTAGAATGCTGCGGGGTTGGAAAGGAAAGGTGATCCGGAAGGAAGTTGTTTGTGGCCAAAACTAATCAGGGGAGAGATCCCAAACTAATGGCGCTGGCGATATCAACTGGGTTCAAGGGGCGTGAAAGAGTTGAAGCAGGTGCTTGGCGACCCCCTTTCTTATCTTTTACGAGATTGTTTTCAGACAGATAGACAGACAGATAGACAGACAGACCAGACATCCTTGTGGGCGACGCACACCGCCTGCATGAGAGGAGTGCCATGTGTGACGGGCGCCACAGCGAGTAGTTCAGGAGGAGCTGAATGAGGCTGGGATGAAATGACTTCATCAAAACATGATAGCGGAATGGCTCAGAGCGAGGGAGCGTGCATGAGAGGGGAAGTATTTTAGGAGTGGAGGGAACTCGTACTGTTGCGCGATTCGCAGAGAAACCTAGGAAAAAGAAACCTAGGTTTCTCTGCGAACATGGAACACTTAGCCCCCACAGCGACAGCAGCAGCAGCAGAACGGCGTTTCTTCCTGCAGAGCTACCCACAGGCGTATGTACTGAGCTCTCTCCCCTTGTTCCCAAGGATGTGTGCATGCGTGTGTGTGGGGGGGGATCCTATTTTGGCCTAGTTACGTAAAAAGTATTCAAGCGCAAACTGCGTTGCTCATACGTAACCTTTTTCCTTTTTAGGTTCTAATAAAATTTGTTTTGTACCGTATTTTTTTTGAGCGGGGGTATATGAAGGCACACGCGCCTTGTGATGTTCTCCTACGCGGAAGGGTGGAGTATTCCCGGTTAGGACACTCGGGTGTCCTGACACCCAATCCGATTTTATGAACCCAACTTATTCCTCAAGGACGGCTCGCGCCACTGGCCACCAACTTGCGTTCTGCCGTTGGAAGTTACCATTGCCCTTGATACTTAAATCAAGTCGGCTAATGATGAAAGATACAATTCTGCGAAAACCTAAGTAAAACCTATGGCGGTGGCGATGCGATCCTACGATGAGACCAGTGGTTATTGTGGAGTACTGAGTGGCTGCGGCAGCAGATGCGACAAATGGATAACAAAACCCCCAAAAGTCTAAAAACGAAATACGACAGGAAAAAACCCGAAGTCGACGGTTTTCCAAAACAAACTAGATTCATTAGATCGCGCTATGGATTGGCAACAGCGCTCTGGGGTTTCTGCAACTGCCAGCTAGCAGTCTGTATGCCAGAGCAACGGCACACAATCCATCCCGGAAGGTAAAACAACCGCAAGCCATCATTCATACCTCACCTGACTACCTCCTCCTCCCCTACAGGCATACGTACGCAAATCTACTACCGCACGAGTCCTCACCACAGAGTTCCCATCCTTCTCCTCCACCACAAGTATGCTCCCCTTTAGGGACTACACGCATCATATGCGTCACAGGATCCGCTTCTACTTAACGAGGGGCTGCCTAACCAACGGAGCGGAACACGCAACGCTGGAATCGCGGTCCTAATGAAGCGAGCGTCCGCATGGGTTATACAAGCCCGACACTCTATACCACCTTTAAGTTCGCAACAGTACCACTACTGAAGATTGCTGCACAAGAAACCTGGACCGAAATGTTGGAAGGCACAAGTTGTTGAAGTGCTGCCTAGACTACTGGTTCAGACGGCTCTAGCTAGCAGGAAGGTCCAAGCGCCCTCTAGTTGGCAGCAGAATTCATTGCGAGAAGACACAACAACACCGCATACTAGCGGAACATCTCGCCGAAGCTGGGTGGCAGGAATGCCACACCATTCGGGAAGACCTTGCCGGTCAAACTCGGAGTGACCAACCAGGCTGCAAAGGCTGTCTGCTGCTAATACAGTAAACATAAACAATACGTAAGAGCCCGGTCCCAAAAGGAAAAAGAGATGGACCATGCGCGAACCTGGGAGACGAGGGAGAGCAAGTCAAGCAGCAAACCGGCGGGTGGCAGTGCTAAGGCAAGAGGAACCTCAGACCTCTCCACCCATGCCCCCATTCAGGATGAAGGCGTATTATAGTAATAACTATTATTACTATTATGGAAAAGCGGCGGGCAGAGGACCACTCAAACCGGCTGCCCATGACAGGAACCACCACCACCACCACATGTACAGCTTACAGCCCACAGAACCACGTGTGCGTCAGCGCATCCTTGGCGGTCAGGCTGCGCCTCTCCAGCTGTTGCCGCAGGTCCTGTGCCGCACTGCTCAATGGAAACGCCAAGTGGTTCATTAGCTGATCCACCACCATGTCCAGGTCTGAGTATGGCGTGTAGGTGCCATCACATTCCAGGGTGGTGCTGCGCCAGTACCTCAGCGGGTAGGGTGGGTCGCTGCACTTGCAGCCGACCTTGCCCACGTGCTCCAGGTCAATGAGCAGCCATTTGCGTGGCACCGGCAGGAAAATGAGGTTGGCCCAACGCACGTCCCGGTGCACAAAGCCTGCACGTGCGCACACATACACACATATGCACACATATGCACCAGCGACAATAGAGCATCTGGCAACAAATGCATGTGGTGCAGCAGCAAGCGAAAAACCACCATGACATCAGACATATGCCGGTTATAGCAGGGACCTTGCCTTCAGAGTGCAAAGCCTCTAGGCCGGTCAGGGCGCCATGCACCGCGCACTTGAGCTCCTCCTCGGAACCCGGGGCCCCCGTGCAGGGCACACCGATCGGGGCCAGGTGCACGATGTATTCATCATCCTCCAGGCGCGGTGCAACCATGTTGTAAGCCAGCTGGATGATTTTGTCCTCATGCCGCTTCATCTTTTCATACACGTCCTGCAGCAGCTCGAAGCTTGTATACGTTGCATGCAGCACGGAGAACTCCCTGATAGTCTTCCGAATGTAGCCTGCACATACACACCGCAGTCCACATCTTACAGGCAACAAGCCTATACTCAACGCGGATAGCTTGCCGTGCAGAAACAGCTGGCATATCAGCAAAACCGTATCAGGCTCTTGTTAGCAATACAGTGCCACGCTTCAACTGCAAGGCAATCAATGCGAATCTTTGCAGGAGCACTCCAACCGGTTCATCAAGGTACATAGTAAACATGAGGAAGCATGCTCACACCTGCCTGCAGCTCAACACGTGAGACGAAATGGCAAGCTCGCGGTATTAAGTGGAGCACTAACCAGTGAGGTAGGTGATGGAGCGCTTAATGTTGCCGTAGCCTTCGTTGAGGTAGCTGGTGTGGCCAAGAGCAAATGGAAGTTGCGGTATGCTTGCCGCATAGCCAGCCAGCAGCCTGTAGACATTGCACGTGGCTCGCATTGCCCCCAACAAGCCGGCAGGTCGCGAGAGATCGTAGATGGTGCTGATGGGCTCGGTAATAACCCGGTCGTTTCTGCAAAATGCAATGTTGAGTCAACAACCATGCAAAGTGGGAGGTGGTGGTGGGAGCATACCAAACAGCGGTGCCCAGGCTACTACAGACCAGGTCAAAGCGGGCAAATGACAGGGGGACATCGTATAAAAGGGCTTACACTGTTTTGATACAGAAGAACTTGCCATCCAGGTTCAAGCCAACCAGGGTAACATAGGAAAGGGGGAGGGATACAAGATGAATGGGTAAGAAGGGAAAAGCGTTCGAAAAGACGTCGGCAGAGCGTGCCGCATGATTTTAAACAGGGGTCTATACAAGCAAACAGGGGACATGTCAACCAGCTGCACCAGGAGAGCGCTAATCAGGCGAGGTGCGACACGCCAACCAAATATCATGGCTGTATTTACAACCTGCCTGCAGCGAGGAGCCGGCTGCTGCGAAGCCCAGCATGCAGGGGACGGGGTAGCCTGGCAGCAGCTCTGTGGCCCACGCGCGCGGCATCTTCCCCCCCAGCTCGCCAATTGCTTGGAACATTTCCTCCTTGTCCGCCTTCTCCACGCCCTTAAACAGGAGGGCTTTGTTGACCCAGCAAATGAAGCCTGGCCTGCTGTTTAGCACTATGGTACCAAGCACAAAACCGTTGCAGGATGGCAAAGAATAATTTGTAACCAGCGACCAACACAACACAAAGGCGCAACAGAGCTAAGCAGCACACAGGTGGATGTTGGCATGCCTGCCCAGGACCGGAAAAGGAGAGCTGCCCAGGAGGTAAGAGGGGCGTGTAAGGTGGATCGGTGAGCACAAAGGACTACAGGTTCATGATGTGAACATTGCTAGGGGCGCCCAAAGTCACACCTGTCGCTCCACTCGCATTTCTGTCCATCTTAAGAACAGGCCAATCCACGTGCGCCGCAATGAGAGAGAGCATTCTGTCAATCACATACATTGTTAACCCCAACGTGTATATTATGCTGGTGCCGCTCGTGTTTAAGCTCGTGTTTAAGCTCGTGTTTAAGTCGAGGCTCCAAAAGGCGCCCCCGAAGAAGTGGCACAGCATTTCTGCCGTGGCTGCCTGCAAAGTACCCGCCACAGTGTTGTGATGTACAGCTTCATCGCCACTGGGACATGGCGATGCATATTCAACGGCTCCAGCTCTAGCAGCCGGTGTGGACCTCAACCACGGGCCCAGCAGTAATAAATGGATGCCGCCGCCGGACTGACCGCCCGACAACCCTCCATCCCCCATCAGCTCAGTCCACATACCCGTGGGTCATCGCTCTCCGACACCACCAGGTGGCTCAGACCCGAGGGGCACTCGTAAGCCAGCCGCGCAGCAGCCGGCGTCGACATCGGCAGGCGGAGCCCCTCCCCAAGGTCCCCCTCAATGTACTGCCGCAGGTTCTGCCCTGTCAGCAAGACCTCGGCAGGGAATGGAGCCAGGCACTTTTTCAGGTACTCGGCCGTCGTGTCAGCACCTGCAAATGTCAATAAGCGCAATAAATAGCACGGACCAGGAAACGACCATTATGAGCCAACAGCCATGCCGATGGGTATAAACACAATGTATGTGACCGTGGTGTGTCACGCGGATTGGTAGCGTGCCACTGACTGTGGATCACATGAATACCGGGTAGTTAAAAGGACGGCCCTCAACTCAAAACAGGGTGTTGTGTTGGGATTGCGGAGGTTTTTGAGAGCCGAGAGAGATTCAAGCTGGTTAATTCTTGTTCTCATACCCCTCTAGGAGGACATTTGCCTTGGTGGAAAATTAGGGAATTGTTTAGGCATAGAATGGAAGAGATTACGAACAGGAGGGTGGTAGGCGGGAGAGGAAGGGGGGAAGGAGGAAGGGGAAGGTGTGGTGGTGGAGGGAAAGGGGTAAAAGGTGTGGGGGGGAGGGGTATGTGCTGGGGAGGGAGGGAGGGTGTGTGAGGGGGTGGAGAACTGGGAAAATAGGTTCTGGGGAGAGGGTTCCTTTTGTGTGGTATGTATGTATGTATGTATGTATGTATGTATGTATGTATGTATGTATGTATGTATGTATGTATGTATGTATGTATGTATGTATGTATGTATGATCTATCTGGGGTGGGTACATGTGCGGGTGAATGCCATGTAGGGTGTGTGCGTGAATCGTCCACTTGCCAACTGTGCAAGTCCCTTATGCTGCCGCTGCTGCTCCACATGCCGCCCGATCAGCCTGTCCGACCTCAGGTACACCCAACTGACAAGTCGGAGGTGGTGGACTTGCTGGGGGTTGCTGCGCACTTCCGAGAGCCCCCCCCCCGCCTCTCCGCTGTGCTGCTACGGCCCACAGACCGCCACCAGCTGCCGCCACCTCCACCCCCATCAGCACCTGAATCCAAATCCGGATCCGGTCCTCTGGGGGTCCAGGTGTGTGTGTGTGTGTATATGTGTGTGTGGATGTTGGACCAGACCACCCAGAGGCCCGCCATGGTCGTTGATGCACTACACTTACCTTCAGCTATCAAAGCTTAGGGTTTAAAACCCTAAAACCCCTAAGTCTGGTCTAGTCTGTTCTGGTCTGGTGTCACCTGTCTGTAATCAGCAGATGATGGTCCTGGGTTCGATTCCTGGGCAGACCCCCCACATCTGTCGGCGGTGTTAGGTTAACGGGTTGCTACTGAGGTGTGGAGATGAGGTCTAGTTGATGGAATAAGTTTCGCATGCTGAGTTGGTGGCGATTGCTGACCTGCCTCTACGGACGTCGGGTTTGACTAGATGAGGAGGGGTCTAGTTAGCAGGACCCAAAACGCCTTCGGTTGTACGGTGGATCAATTTTCAGTATGATGTGTGGGACAGGGGGGCATACCTTCACCCGTGGCCGCTATCCGGCGAAACCCTGCCTTCCCCGGTGTTTCAGGGCACCCACCCGTGGCCGCTACTTGGCAAAACCCTGCCTTCCCCGGTGTTTCGGGGCACCCTCATCTAGTCACCCTAGTCAACTTCTCAGTGGATCGCTTAGGTTCCGCACCCACCACCGGCATCCAACGGAATCAACGGCGGCTCAACTCCATTCCTGGTCAGCTCGCAAGTCAACTTTATCCCTGGTCACCACCGTCCATCGACTGGGACCACTTTACCCTCCACCATCGGAAGGATTTTCGACCCTGACAGGTCTCGATCCCGGGATCTCCCGGGGGCAATGATCCGTGCCTTACCAGTAGTGCCTAACCTAGATTCCAATATACCTAGTCCATTTGGCACCCAATCAGGCTTTGAAGGCCACCCCCGCAATCGTGCGGAGCTTGTAACTTGTAACCTAAGCAGAAGCACGGTGTAAGGATTACAGAATGCACTCACGAATTGTACAAATCGTTGATACGTTGATACTCGCCACGCTGTCCACACACGGGCTCAAGCAAGAATGCTCTCACAATAGTGTGACAACTCAACACGCCATGGGCTCCCTGGCTTTAGCGGGCGACCTCCACGCTTGTGTGGAACGTGTAAAATGTAACGCGCAACGATTCGACCCCGGGCCCCAAGGCCTCAAGCATATGCGCTGACAGTCTGTGCTGACAGAGTGGTTGCTAACCAGGTCCTGTACGTAGCCCAGTGGTGGAAAATAGGCCTGTGTCTACCAGGTGGAGTTAGTAACTTAACGACCCCCATCTTTCCCCTCTTCGCCGCCTTTACACAAACCTTTATAATAATATGGATGGTTTTTCCTGCTTTCTTTCCGCATTCTATTTTAGCCTTGGCGGCTAGGTAGGTAGTATTCCGTTATCGTCATCGCGGAGACTACTCCTTCGCAAGCCGCGACTGGTTGGTTATTGCTTACGTACTTCTGTGTGTATCCTAGTCTATCTTTGGCATCAGCTTCATTTATTCGTGGTTCGTCTTTCCCCCATCTTCCCCTCGCCTGGCCCCAGCAAGCAAAACGAAAACGTACCACCAGTGTCAGTGCCAGTGCCAGTGTCAGGTCCCAGGTCCGCATCAGCAGCAGCATCTGCACAGAGTGAGGCAGGCGGAAGACACATACCATGCAGGTCAGCAGTTGCAGCAAACCGTGCACGAAAGTGAGGGTGGGGTCCGACAAATGCCCACTCATAGGCGGGTTCCGGTAGTTTACGCGGATGCACTCCACGCCAATCTCGAGGTACCCGGGATCACCGCAGCATAATGGAGGCAAAAAGCTGGCAGGATATGCAGCGGCATATATTGAATACAACGGACCTTGGATGGCAGCCTTTAACGCCGATTGTTGCCGAACAGTGAGGCCTGCTGCTTGTTTCACGTCCAGCAATCGGAAAGCGCTGTCAACCTCAGCATCCACGTCAAAGCCTAACTCGGAAAGGGCAGACACAATTGGCAAAATGGAGCTGGCGTCTTCTCCCTTCACAGAAAGCAGGGCTTGGCGAATGGTCACCATGTCTAGGAGACCCGGATCCCACGTGATATTAAAATATGCTTCAATTGTGTTATCGAGCGGTATGGTTTAGTTTTAATTAGTACGACTTTGTGCGCGTGCAAGACTTTGCTAGGCTATTTAATGCTTCCCTACACCCTCTTTCTTAGCTTAGTATTCTTCTTCTTCCCTGTCTCTCAGCCAGCGATAGATGACGGACTCCACAAACCGGGCAAGGTAGGAACTTATGCTTCCTCCGGTCGCCAACTGGAGCCAGTTCCTATACGTATGGTATCGAGTTATGGTTCAATCCTACCTCGATCCGTATTGGAGCTGTTTTACCATAGTCACAGCGTTTCCGCTTCGCGCTGCTTTAACGACCGATTGAGTGCCGCCCCGTGTTGCCGGTCGTTCACCCGCATCTCATAGTTAGAGGGTTCATCGCTATTAGATACTGACATCCGTCGTTCGGCAGCCGGCCAAGTCTGGACACTTTGCGCGGGACTGCAGTTTCACATTTGATGTCGGGCTCGAGGATGGGCCATACCAGTTTGCAACTATCGTTTGCGGAAGCTGACAACCCGCCGTTTACCTCATGCATTTAACGTCAAGTGCCTTCCATAAGCGGCTCTGTGGACGGCGCTGCGCGTAGGGCCCTCCGCCGAAGCATGGATGCATCCCTATGCAATCAAAAGTAACAATTCGAGCTGTCGCACTGCTGGAATATGCAGTCCAGCACTGACGAACACATCCGATGCATGTCTAAGCTCGGTGCCGAATTATCAAGAGAGCGACTAGGATGCTACTTGTAGATGTCGATATCGCGTGGCAAATATATAAGTGATTTACGGTTTGCAATGCGAAAGACGTAGTGATGCCGGCGGTTGCCTCCTGATCGAGTGATCTTGTGCGCCAGTCCTTGAATATTTGGGAGAACCCCCCTCGCCCCACCATGGAACTGCCGCGACCCGCTCTGCCGCTGTGAGTGAGGTTGCCATCTCCGGTTGCAAATATGAATTGCGAGGTCGCCATCTCCGGAAAGCACGGCATCACCGACAGCTCCAGCCAGCTCTCTGCCTAGCCGTACTTGTGCGCCACGTCATCCACGCGACGGCGATCTCGATCCATCTTCTGGCGAATCTTGCCGCCGTCATGCAAAAAATCAGTCGCGACACCCAGTTGCTGTCGTTTCCGCTGCTCCGTCGTCATCTTTACGGCCGATAACGTGTCGCCTTGCACAGGAATAGCTGCCGCTTCTGCTGCGGCGGCGGCAGCGGCCGGCGGGTTGCCGCCAACCACTGCGACGGTGCCCTTTCGCCGCTGCCTTGCCGCCAGCTGGGCCCTTCCATGCCATAGGCGCTGGCGCCGTTGCTAAGCTCATAACGCCATTGTCGTCGCTGTATTCAGTGCCTCCGGGCTGTCGCCTCGTTCGTTCACCTGCAACGCTCACCTGTAGCGGTCGGACATCGGCCACACATGCAGCCGTACGGCACGTCACGCAGCCCACACATGCCTCCGCCGAAAACATCCACCGTAGCGAAAACGTCCCCACGCGGTTTTTGAACGAAAAGAGCGCGCTTTCAATCCAACCAACTGTCTATCTATGCCATCAAGTAATGTGAGTCACTTAAAGCGCTGCCGTATCTTCTAGCAATCCAGGATCTGTTCAACATGCGCCCCAAGAAAAGGCCAAGAAAAGGCCCTTAGCTCGCCTCGAGAGTGAGGGCCATGATTGCAATCTACACCATACAATTCACACCATACAAACCCTACCTTGAAAGGACAGAGCCCCTTCTGTCGATCTCCGTTGCCGACGCTGCTGCCCACCGCGGCCATCTCAATCCTTCGCCGGTAGGGCTGTACGGCAAGGATGCAGTGGCGGCAGCGACGGCGGCAGCGCTACCGGTTGTTGTTGTTGTAGACTTCGCTGATGGAGCCGACATGGGCAACGGAGGATCCGGATTCCAAGCTGCTGTGGTGCGACAGACCAAGCAGGGTCTCGCACACTCCGCGCTTGAAGGAGACGTCGGCAGCGGCGGTTGCGCCAGGCATCGCCTGCGCTATCGCCAGCGCGCCCTGCAGCTGCAGCTGCAGCAGCTGCTGCTGCTGCTGTATAAAAACGCGCTCAAAGTACGATAAGGCCTGCACATTACACATTGAAAATGAAGTGAAGAGACACGAAATGGACGCGGAGGGGCAGGTGGATGCAACTTATTGGTGTACGTGTACGGACCTGCAGTACATAAATGCTGCGGCCAGCTGGTGCTCACTCCTTGTGCAAGATGCACAATCGCCAGGTCCTAGTACAGCTCCTGGTCCAAAAGTCGCCGTACGGCCCCCTACGGCTTCTGACCAGCCAAGTCTTTCGTGACTTTCCTCCTGAGCTCTCAAGAGCTTATCATAAGGAAATTTGCTCACCCCAGCTTTGAGTCATTCCTCCGAAAGCCCAACCATCCTCCGTTCGTACATGTTCAGACGCCTCCAGCAGGCACCGCTGATGGGTGGTTCTGGTTGTGCCAATGCGACGGTGCTCCCCCCCGCCACAGCGCGCTCTGAAGCACGGAAACGGCTTTCGTACGCCGCGCTGCTATGGCAAAAGCCGAAGAGTTGTCGGACGATGATGAAGGCTTGGCATTAGCGGCACTGCTGCCGCCAGGTGCACCAGCGGCGGTGGCCGTGGCGGTAGGGGTGGCGGCGGCACCGGTTGCAGCCGCAACACTCTTCGAAGAACCGCTTCGGATGTCCCCACTTGCCAAGATCTTCGCAGTGGGTCCTGGCCCGGTTCCGGAGCCATATGCAGCATGAGCTGGCGCAGCAGCAGCAGCAGCAGCAGCAGCAGCAGCAGTAGCAGCAGCAGCAGCAGCTGGCGGTGGTGCTGGTGGGGTCGACACGGGAGGAGTGCTTTGAAGCACCTCTTCAGCAAGCGCCACCGCTACGCCCTGTTTCAAAACGACGGTGCATAAAGCATCGGCAGTAGCAGCAACAGCAACATCGGCAGTACCTGCAAGCAGTGCGCCATCTCCTGCTGTAGTGGCAGTGCGACGGAGTGGCGCTCCAGATACTGTACGGCATTAATTGAGCAATGGCGACAACGGTGGCTCAACTAACAACGGGATGAGAAGATGAGAGACGTTTGAAATGCTAGGATACAGGCACCGGAAACGATCACCAAGGAAGGGGTGTAGCAGGAAAACGAACGAATACATGCAAGCGAACGATTTCAAAATCCAGACAAACAAGCAGCAACAGGATCCCATCAGCCACAAGCCGGCTAGCCGAAAGCCGACTACACGCTCAGAAAGGTTCGGAGTACGGCATAATAAAAATCCTTCACAACCCCCACGCACCACCTACATTACCCAACATCCTACTTCACCCCTCACATCCTCAACTCCCTTTGCTGATCACCATCAGCACCCCACAAAGCACCATCAGCACCCCCCAAGCACCATCAGCACCCCCCCAGCATCCCCCCAGCACCCCCCAGCACGCCCCAGCACCGGCTCGCCTGCACGGCTATCTCCAGGCGGCTGTGGACCCCCTCAAGATCCATCATGCCACTACTGCTACCGCGATTACTACTGCCGCTACTGCTGCTGGCTGACCCGCCAGCGCCAGCAACCCCAGCTAGGCTGAGCAATGTGGGCCAGAGCAATGAACAGCACCAGGTCAGCCGCCGCAAGGTGTTCCAAGTGGAACACGGGCTGCTTGCCAACGCACAACGGGGAGAAGGGCACTGCCGCAGTTTCCGAGCGGCTTTGAGCACTGGGCTGCTGTATTGGACGATGGCACATCGTTATCGTCTTGCCTCGCACAGCAGGGCCAGAGCGGCAGACGATTCGTCGAGAGGTTCGTCGCTGCCAGCCTGAGACAGATGAGGGAAAGACGAACCACGAGCGAGTGAAGCCGATGCCAAGGAAAGACTACCGCTCTGGCAGATAAAAATAAAACATAAATAACCAGATGGGGGGTTAGGAGCGGGACCAGCAGCAAGCAGAAGGGAGGCAAGAAGTTAGGTAGGGTACAGAAGACAAAGGATTACAGAAAAGACAAAGGATCAAGTGCCGACGCCCAAAGCAGCATTGGCTGGAGGTGGGCATGTTTTCATGTGCAGGATGCAAGAAACGCGAGGAGATAGGGATCTGAGAGGAGCGGGAACGTGGGATGTCCTGAAAAGCCAGGCAAGCCTTCATCCGGGTGTTGACGCTACGGAGGCGCGCGAGCGTCCGTGTTTTTCCAAATTCCGTAATTGCTCTCAGATTGATCCTTACATCCTCTGACAGATTGTTATTTGTTATTTATTCCTTGCTTAGGACGTAAATGCCCAGCCCCGGCTCAAGTTCACGATGCTCCCCATGTTTAGCGCTAACTGAAGCCAATGATAGATGCCGCACCTTCAGCACAGTTAGCGACGGAGATTTCGGCAGCACGACAACGCTGGTCATCATGATGGCCAATGAGTCTCGCCCTCGCAGATACCGTTGGAGATGTATCCTAGGCATATCATGGGATCCGCATCCACCGATCGGTACTTTTCCGAAAAAGTCATGATAAAACAAGGGAAGGATAGGATTGCCCCCAATGGTCTTGCAGGTGAAATATTAAAGATGACTCTTGGGTGAAGTGGCGCCGTGAGGGGCCCTCGGCAGAACTAGAAGCCGCGTTGTTAACCCCAAGTCTGTCGGTGTCATCCTAGCCAGAGGTAACATCGTTGCCGTCAACCTTTGAGTTGCAAACTACTGTGTTTGTTGCGTGGTTGGTCTCGGAGCGGACGTCCGAGCCTGACATATATAGTTTGACAGTATACCCAAGTTAGGCACTACTGGTAAGGCCCGAACCATTGCCCCCGGGAGACCCCGGGATCAAGACCTGTCAAGCATCGAAAATCCTTCCGATGGTGGGAGGTACAGTGCCCCTGGTCGATGGACGGTGGTGACCAGGGGTAAATTAAACTCGCGAGCCGATCAGAAATGGAGTTGGGCCGCTGTCGATCCGGCGGATTCCGTTGGATGCTGGTATTGGGTGCGGAACCTGAGCTATCCACTGAGAAGTTGACTAGGGTGACTGGACGAGGGTGCCCCCGAACACCGGGGAAGGCAGGGTTTCGCCACGCAGGGTAGCGGCCACGGGTGAAGATATGCCCCCTGTCCCACACATAGTTTGAGCAGCGCGCTGACATGTACGGCATGAGAAGGGCTTCCTCAGCACAGCGCGATAACGCCAATGGTCTGACGTTAAGCGGTCTCTCAAGGAGCATGGAACTGACATTCGTCGGTTCCACCAGAGTGATTCTCTCCGTGACAAAAGGATTAGCTGGAGGTAGAGGTAACCGAGCACACTGAAATTGCAGTACACACGACAAAAGCTGCAGGGCACTTAGTCCGGCCGCATACAGCTTAGCTGTTCGCGCCGCCGAGAGATCATACAAATGATTCAGAAACAAATACTTAATCAACCTTGGTATATACAACGTCGCGTGGCAGTGGCGGGTGTAGCCCGGAAGGCGTTGTCGTGTGACGTCAAGTGCTCAAGTCCTCAACGCAAGGTCGCGTGAAAGGAACCTTCCCGAAAATCATTATCTTCAAGCTCAATATATTTATGCCTTCTTTCGCATCGAGCCACGATTTGAAAGTAGGGCCATCCTGAGCAGTTGGCATTCGGCCTGCCCTGGCTACCCGGTCACCGGTCAGCGGGGGCTCATGGAAGCAGGCAGAACCAGCCATAAGTCAGGTGGCAGCAAGCGTTGATGAGCGACCATCAGGTTCGCTCATCACATAGCCAGGAAACCCCTTTCGTTGCACTTGTGCAAATTTCCACTGGAGATTCGCACGCTGGGTACCAGTGCATCGCCTGTGAAAGGTATTTCGCTGCCTAAAGAGACTGCCATGGTTATTTTGAGGACGTTACAGGTCAAAATTGTTTGGACCAGCATGTGCCGGTATAACTTGGCTACAACGCCAACCTTCTAAGGTATAGTGCTCCAGAAGCTTTCCCAATCTGTGCGGGGACCCTACCTAACCCTGAACTCGGGCTTCACCTTGTAAGCAACCATTAATGCTTCTTGCATTGTGGATTCAACCGTGGTACCTCAAAATGCCAACTGGACGACCTTGCGAAAAGCAGAACGAAGGACATAAACCTACAAGCTAGTTTTATGACCAAAGTCGTATGAGATGTGAAAATTTGGCATGAGTAATCAAATTGCCAAGCATTAACGGATGGTAGAAAAAATTCCTTGTTATGCAGTCCCGGTTTTCGACACTAATACGGCATCTTCGGAGGAATCCGACTGCCATTCATCGTCAGCAGGTCTAACCGATATGGGTCCAAGGATCAACCTTTAGTTTTATCGGGAAATGGCCAACGTTCCGGAAAACAAGGCACCTGGCCATGAGCGTAGATAAGCAGACAAATTAAAAACAATTTAAACATATAACCCTACACATCATCTCCAGTTATAAAGCGACCATCTCCCAAGATGAATCCTTGAGACCTCTTATCCCAGCCCCGAAGCCACATAAGCCCCAGGGGACCCTTATCCCTATCGAGTCTCCATTAAACTGAGCTTTGTTCATGTGTAAATTAGGCAAAAATGATGCTCGCTAAGCGCACCCTTCTGAGCAGGCCTCAGGTCCGCCCTGCGGCCACGCGCCCTCGCCGCGCTGTCGTCGTCCGCGCGAGTGGACAACCAGCTGTGGACCTCGGCAAGAAGGTTGAGGATGCCGTTAAGGACGCTGAGGAGGCTTGCGCCAAGGGCACCTCGCAGGTCAGCTGAACGAGTGCTGAGGGCCGGGAGCACCTCGCTTACGTGCGGTGCATCGCAAGTTGGTCTGTCGCCTTCGCACCTTCTACATACCGTGATCACACTACGCTTTTTTAAATATGCGTGTCACCTGAAACAAGATCTCTGGTTATGTGTTGTATGTTGCTATTGTTCCTTATCTAAGCGTTGCGCTCGCTGGCCTCAGCACTAGAGATGTCCACGATACAAATAGATAAACACTGTTCATTTTAGCTTTGTTCATACCTGTTTTCCTTTAATATCTTTGTTCAATGCTTAGGACTGCGCTGTTGCCTGGGACACTGTGGAGGAGCTGAGCGCTGCAGCGTCGCACAAGAAGGACGCTGCCAAGGCTGACGCTCTCAGCGACCCGCTGGAGAAGTACTGCCAGGACGCTCCGGATGCTGATGAGTGCCGGTGGGTCGTCTGGGGTTTTCGTGACTCTGCTGCTGGTTGATCGTCGTCACCAACGTCGACAAATTCTCCATACCTGCTGTTCAGTCCTATTTTGTCTGAGATTCTTGTGATGAAAATGACTAACGCTAGGAAACCCCGCCCTGCTTGTTTGCTACTACAGTGTCTACGAGGACTAAGCTCCTGATGAGCGCGGTGTGGTGGTCGGCAGATCGGCGCTTGTTGTGCAGCACGTTTACTGCGTCACGACGAGCGTTGGACATTCTCGGCTTGGGCGCTTCACGTCCCATGTGATGCAGTCGGGTGCCGTGCTTAGAGGGTTTCTGATTGCCTCATGGTGCTTACGCCCCGCCTTGGACCTTAGGTGCTGTATTGCGTGCGGATCTCTTGCGGCAGTGTGAGATTCTGCTTTACGGATAGCACCTGTAGCCCATGGCGTCGAGCAGTGGTCGAGTGACAAAATTTTGAGGTTGCAGAGATTTCCTCTGCTTTTTTGTGCGGATGGTGCCGTTCGCTTGGACAAGTGTGTGCTTCAGGTTGTGTAATGCATACCTAGCTAATGTAACATACGTTCACAGACATCTTTCTTATCCTGTTACGTGCCTTACGCGGGATTCTGCTAGGGGGGGCACTGTTTTACAGTGAACCCCGATAGGGTCGCGTGCAGGGAGGAACGTCTCCCACACATGGCTATGCAGCACCGCTAAGGCAGAAAAACATTGTTTCTGTACCTATGATAAGAGTACAAATCTAAAAATTCATAGCAGCAGGCAACACAACTTCAAATACCACATCAAGGATGCTCAACAAGTTCCGTAATGAGTTTCGAAATTCATGATGAAGGCGTACATGTTCTCCCTTTACGTGTCATAAATATGAAAAGTGCGATAGTTGTTCCATAGTATGCATGCTCGAAAATGCTGGATAATAATTACTCATACCCACTGCGGCAGGGGAAGTTGCCCAGATATATCCCACACACACTTACACAAGTTCTGCAGACCGCACTCGACCTCCGCCTGCACTCTTTAGGACGTATAATCTTGAGGTATTTAACTTCGTGTGCGGATGTGCGCGGTTGACGGAAGTCGGTGTCGTTTCGTTATTTAAATTACACTCGACGCTTAGATCTCTTCCGCTTACAGTCATGTACATAATTGACTTGACTCAACGCAGTCAAGTCCAGTTTTCCAGGACGGATTGATTGACGTTTTCCTCGTCGTAATTGGTGTTGGTCTGCTGCTACTGCTTCCGAGATCTTTCGCCCGAGCTTCAAGATAAGCCTTTCCCACTCTCCACTCCCGCATCACTACCGATAATACATGATATTACAATATTTGGAATACCTCGACAGAATTCCTTTTCATAGTCGCGAGGACAGACATACGTGAGAAAGGACATACGTGAGGACATACGTGAGGAAGGACAGGCGTGAGGAAGAACACATGTGAGAACAGACAGACATGAGGAAGGACATATGTGAGGACAGACAGACGTGAGGAACGATGGACGTGAGGAAGGAAGGACGTATCACAGGCAACCAGGCGCTGCTCCGGATGTTCGCATGGAAAATTCTTGGCAGAACATGCGACCATCTCGCTAGCGATAAAGCTTAAAAGTCTCAATCCTAGCCAACCTTCCATTATCAGGTTTCACCCATCACGAGCATGCAGAGAATCCAGGCCACACCCAAACACCTTTTGGAACCCGCCGATCCGCAAGGTTAGACAGCCCGGCAAACACGGGCGGGCCAGGACAAGAAAGAAAAGCGTGGTATTTTGCTTCATCCCAAGGAAAGTCGACTTCTTTTTTGTGGACCAGACTACAGTAAACTTTACGAATGTCGAAAGGCATTGCGGGCTTGCGACGGCCTTAAGACCGGGCATAAAAACGGCAGAGACGCGCCGCAAAGAGGGAGCCCTACCATCCTCTTAGCGTCGGGAGGCCTCTGACCATGCCGCCAAGCCCACGACGATGTTGACAAGCAAAATTGAGCACAAACAAAATGTTCCCCCGAACGAAAAAAACTTGGGTATTACTGCTTGCAAGGAAATTGAAAAGATCAAAAGTGAAGCAAATACGAAAGCTGTAATATCATGTCTTCGCAATTAAGGAGTCGGGAACAATCACTTAATGAAAGCACCCTCTCCAAAACCAAACACCACTCCCGCATCTGCCTTTTCATTTTCTTCAAGGCCGCTACTCTTTTCCTCTTCACGCCCCTCACACGCCCTACGCCACGTAACACTATTGATCACTAATGAATGCTACTATGCATGCTTCGTCCAGTAGCTCACCTCCAAAGGAGCCATAAATCCCGCAGATCCCCGCAGAATCACCGATGAACCGGCCGACACGTCACGGTTGCAAGCCACAGCAACCAGGTGGTCACACACTGCACTTGGGGTCCCCCGCGACTAAAAATCGCGTCCATGTCACTACTTAAGCGCTCACATACACCATTTCTCACACTCATCAGACACCGTCACGCCGCTGGTCATTCACCGCTTCTCACGTCTTACCATCGCCGCCTCGCCGCTCCGCTTCACTCCTTTCTTCCTCCAACCACTTTACTCCTCAGCTAGAACAGCATCACGCCAGTTCAAGTAGGCCGCCTCACTCTCCTGCAGGATCAGCAAAGCCCATCCAGCCACCACCGAGATAACCAGCAGCTGCCAGATGCAACATGGCCGGTGGTATGAGATAACCAACACTTTTTTCACTATCCACAGCTTCAATCTACATCACAGACCCACATCTCAACCTCTCCCCTTCATTACCACAACAATTTGCGTGGTGTGTGGACCCACGTTGGGGTCTCCATCTCTTTCGGCAAAACTTCTTAATACTATTATTCTCTACAAGGGCGAGCGCCGCCCCGGTCCAAACCAGCTCTCAGGGAATCCGTCCCGCGGAAATCAAATCTCATTGACTGCTGTCGCTTTTGCGTTGCACGACGAGCTTGTACGCATTGATAAGTTGGTACTTGCGCGCATGCTCTCGGATAATGAGCGGCATGGTGCCCTCTTCCAGGACGTCAAAGTCTGGCGCTAGCTGCGACTTGAGCGCCTCGGCGGACCTGGACAGCAATGCGGGAGGTTCCTTCAAAAACATTTCTCAGGCTCTGCAACTCGGAACAATTTCTCAAACAATTTCTTGAACTTCAGATAAGAACGACAAGCAGAACGGGGCCTTTAATAAAAAAAAACACCAACGCAAATCCGCCCGCGCATGGCTCTTCCACATATGGCCATCCCCCCCCATCAGGCCTCGCGCACCCCGTACCTGTTCGGCAGACCGTCCTTGTAACCTCCACCGAGCCAGTTTCTGCGGTCTGTGTACTGCTCCAGCCAGGAGAAGGGACTAGTAATCAGCGCCACACCTCCGGGCCTCAGAGAAGTCTTGATCTGCGCCAGGCAGGCCGTCGGCTCCGGAACCCGGCACAGCAAGTTAGCCGCCAATACCGCATCGAACTGACCCAGAGAGGACGGCAGGTCGCATGCGTCACCCTATGAAGGGAGCGGAAAGAGCGGGGGGCAAGAACGACGAGGAGGAATGAAGGGCGGCTAGGAGTATCCAGGAGCGGGTTAAGGGCTCATAAGGACGACGAGATCACCGCATACATGTATTGTCCACTAAATTCATGCAGTTTTAGCACAGGACCCAAACGGGGCTTGGGAGCGAAAAGGGGACGGAAGATGGGCGGGAGAAATGGTTCAAACCGGTGAGGGGTGCAGCAGCAGCTTTGTCATAGGAGCCACATCTGCGTATGCGTGGTGCTACTTGACTATGCTGCTGCTATATTTTCAAAATAGCAGAACGAAGGCATGCGAGCACGCATGAGCAAAAGTGGAAGACATCAGGACATGTGTCGAATATATAAACCATCGAATTCCAAGTATGATACACACACAGCTAATTGTCATCTGCTGGGTCGCTGCTACACACAATCTCGGGTAGCCAGCTAGTCTTATAGGTTCATTACGTCCAGACAAGCACGCCACAGATATATACTCGAGTGCAACCACACGCGCCAAACGGGATCCCCTCGGGCCCCCTCCCCGCACGCCCACACCCTCACACACACCTGCAGGAAGCGGCAGCGTCTTGCATTAATTGGCTGTTCCTCGGCCTGGCCCGGCTGCTGCTCGGAAGCTGCCGGCAGGATTGCTGTGAGCCGCTCCGTAATCTCGCCCTCCACAGCGCACTCGTAGTCCATGCGGCCATTGTCGCGAATCTTGGCGGCAACCTCGATGAACCTGGCGAGTAGCGCGGTGAAAAGAGCAAGGGGAGATGAACCAACAGATCATGGGAACACACACACACATACATACACACACATACGAGAGTGGTACAGCACATCGCCGCTAAGAGTTCTTTACAAACGGAAAATGACAAAACGCCCGCCAATGTCCCACAATGGGGCACTTACGTCTTGGAGATGTCCACTCCAACGACCTCGCCGAACCTCCTAGACAGCTCAAACGACGACCGGCCCACTGCGCAGCCCAAATCCAAGGCCCTTGGTCCGGCAAGCCCGCGGCCGCTGCCTGACGCCTCCTCTGCTGCCGCCGGCTCCTGCTGCTTCAACACTCCGGACCGATCTGCCCAGGTGGTGAGGCAATCAGCCAGCTTGCGAGGGAAGTCCAGGGCGTCGGCAATGATGCCGGTCTCCTTGACGAGGTCGGGGTAGACGCGGTCCAGGGGGCCGTACTGAAAAGAGAGGTACTGGGCCAGGATGGCGTCGCTCTCATAAGCCACCTGAAGGGGGGGGGTTAGGAAGCCGCCGACTCAGGTTAACGACTCAGGCAACAGCACGGAAATGTGGCGGCAACAGCGAGTGTGATCAAGGAGGTGCGTTTGCGCGAGACTGTGTGTATGTGTGTATGTATGTGTGCTATCCCGATGAATGCCCCTCTCTCACCTGCGCCGCTTCCAACTTGGCCTTCGTGGAGGCCGCCTCCTCGGTGCGGGTGGGGGTGAAGGCGGCGCGCCGGCGGACAGAACAACAAGGCCCATCACCCACATGCGGCGGCGCCGAATCCATGCACGACGTCTCGTAAAACGGTGTCACGGGGTTGTGGGTGCCGTACCGCTCACTGTCGTACAACGACATGTCAACGTCAGGCTTGACCAAACGGAAGGTGGCGTGCTGGAAGAAGTGGGGTCGGAACTGGTAGCGAGCAAACTTGGAAGCCAGCTGACCCGTCGAGATGAACGAGCCGCCAAAAATCTGCGTGTACGGCAAGAAGGGGTACGTACGGAAGCGTTTAAGGGCCCGTGTTGGGGGTGCGATGCGACACGCCATGCATCGCCGCAATCATACGCGGCCCATTAAGAACATCACCCCGAGAAGGGGGCATCCGTCTCCGTCTCGTCCACTTGCGTGGCTCCTTTTTCAAAAGGCAAACACGACACACGCACACACAGAAACACACACACACAAAGACACACACACACACATACAATCTGTTTCTCTTTTCCACGTATCCTCCCCAATTCCAGTCCTAGTTCCTTGTTCCAAATCCTACCACCCCACCACGCCGAATAACATTAAAACCCAACCCCAGGCAAAGTGCCCTGACAAGTCCCCCTCGCACCCCCCCCAAGATCCCCCAGCCCACAGGAACCACTACTCCTCCTTCCGTCCCTGGACCCAAGCGAAACCTAGACCAGGTCACACAACACCTCTTACCAGCTGATGCTTCCCCGCAAAGCACGGCGCAGAAAAGTCCTCGTAGAAGGGGTGCACCTTGAATCCAGGGAAGGCCGCGTAGTGGTCCTCGCCCCACTCCCATGCGTTGCCCAATGTGTCGTAAAAGCCCTTCTCGCCTGATGAAAGGGGTTTCAAGGGGAACATGAAGGGCATTGAAGGGAGAGCTGTGTCGGCGGTTGGTGGCGACTTGGGCGACAAAATGCTTCAGTGGGTTCAAAGGATGCGTACGACAGGCCACGTGTCAGTTCGCTCTTCCGTACTACAGCTGAGGACTACTCACTGGGCGGCAGCTCCGTCACCGGGTTCTGGCTGCCGTACGCCAGCTGGAAGTTGAAGCCAGCCGCGGATGACGTCAGCGCGTCCAAGCCCGACACCACCATGGTGGCGTCCGGGGAGACGTGCTCATCCGCGGCGGGGCGACGGCGGCCGGCGGCTGCGGCCTCCTGCTGCTCCGGAGAGTTGGTTGCGGCGGTTGGAACCAGCAGATGCGCATCCATCCTGTAGCATGTAGGGGGATGAAGGGAGCGTTGCGCTCAGGGAGCATTGAGTTGCATCAGGAATGGTCGAAAGCATCCACTGAAAAAATGGGCCATTGAGAATATCGCAATTTCTTACCCGATATGTTTAACCCTGTAGTTACTACTCCTCTCGAGATAATAGCCAAAGTGTCGAAATCTGTGTTGTTCATCACGCTATCGTAACAAGACAGCAACCCCTCGCTATCTAACTCCCCTCCAACCCCGTGGCTTCCCCTTCCTCCTCTCTCCACTCCGCGTCCCTTGCCCCCTCACTTCCTGCCATTTGCCCGGGCCAACCTCACCCCCACAGCCCCCCGGGCCAGTATCCTACTTCTTCTCACAGGTCCTATCTTGGAGCACATCTCTCTCTAACGGTTTTTTCTTCGCGCTATCGTCTATTATATGCTTCGTCGTCGTACCCCCCCCCGACCCCCTCAGGCCCCCCCCCAGCCGCACCTGTCCCGGATGTTCCTGATCAAGTTGTGCTCCGCCTCGGTGATGAGGCGGTAACGCACCGGAGAGCCGTCCTGCTCCGTGCGCCAGGCGGCAAACGCCCGCGCCTCGTGGTAATTAACGTCCACCGGCCAATCCCACCGCATATCCACCGCGTCGAACAGAACACGCAGCTTGTACCTAAAGAAGGGGAAAACACGGCGTACACGTGGCCATCGAGGGAACATCGCAAACCCCAAAAAATGCAAAACGGGTTGCGTCTACGACACTGTACAGTGTCGTAGACGCAACAAACAAGGTTTTTTTATCTTTGTGCATACCTGTGCAGGCCTTGCGGTCCATCGGGCATCCAAAACGTGGGCCACTTGACGTTGCGGAAGGTCTTCCAGCCCCAGCCCTCCGCGGACCAGTACTTGGGGTTCATGTAGCCGCTCGCCTTGACGAAGCGAAGGAACTCGCCGTTGGTCACCTTGAACTTGGAGGCTCTGTAGTGGAGAGCGCACACACGTGTTTGTGTGTTACGTGTGTCTTTGTTTGTGTGTATGTGTTACGCGTATGTGTTACGTGCGTGTGTGTGTATGCATGTATGTATCTTACGGTTGCGCGAGAGTGCGTGTCGAATATTGGAGGAGTAAGATGAAGGCGAACCCAAAGGGGTAGTAAAGCGGGGGCCCCCTGTCCGTCCGCCTCGAGGTTTCCTCCTCCTCTGACAAAACGGCCCGTACAGCCGTACACTCACCTGAAGCCCGCCACGTGGATCTCCTTGCTGCCGTACTCGTTGTCCCAACCGAAAGACGGGTAGTCAATGTCCTTACCCAGGACCACCTTCCCGCCACCCACAGGAACCTAAAAAGAAAAAAGGGACCACCACGGGACGCGCACGTTACTGAATTCCCTTCATTTACTGATCTTGAAATAAATAACTTATAAAAAAAACATTCCCACAATTATTAAAAAAACAAATCTCAACATTCCTATTCGCTAATTCATGAAGCGTCTAAACTTGGCAAAAGAAAAACCGCGGACGCAGTCTCAAGACCACCACTTCCGGATGACGCTGGGTAAAGGGAAATGGAATATTACCATGACGCTAAAATTTAGAGCCTTCTCAAGGCCCTTCAAGTAGCTACACTTTTTCTTAAAACCCTCTCTTTACAAGCCGCAGCCCTTCAGACAAGGCCCATCTAACTAAGCCAAGTTTCCTACCATGGCATTGACCGGGTAGTCCACACCCTCCGTAGGCACCGGCACCGTGGGGCTGCGGCAGCTGGGGTGGTAGTCGGGCCAGAACTCGGGCTTGCGGACGCGGGTCAGCGGCAGCTGCAAGGGCACAGCAGCAGCGGCGGGGACCGTAAGGAAACAGCATGAGGCTGTTCAGAAGGTTGTTCCGGGAACCCACAGACGAAACGCAAAAAACTCACTCTCTCTCCATCTCTCAAGTACCTGCCATAAGGACACAGCTAGGAGCTCTGTAACTGGCCGGCCTGTGACGAGATTGCGGTTCCGTGAGCAGCGTCCCAACCCCCATCCCTTTCTCACCTACCTCCTACTTAGCTACCTACCTACTCAACTACCTACCTAGGCTGGTGGTTGCTAACGGTCTCTAGGTTTGAATTGGTTTGCGATTTGGGAGGAAAGGTGTACAGATATGCTGCTACCCAACCACCACAACACCAAGAGCTGCTATCAGGTATTCGCGTCGCACCGCTTCTTCTCACCTCCCGGATGAGGACGGAGGAGGTCTCCAAGTGGATGCGCTCGTGCTCGAAGCCCATGAAAACGGCCCAGGCGGGGTCGTCCCAACCGACCTGCAACCGCCAACGACATCACCACCAATAATTAGTCACACATCCAACGGCAAGTTCTGAACCTTTTTTGTGCCTTAGAAAGCCGATGTATGAAGAATTGTATGCCTCATTCCCGCCATTGCATCTTTAAGTAAATAATCTGTTCATGTCAAGGATTCAGGGCACGTGACGATGCAACCGACAACCGACCCGAGAAGTAGTGGTACAATCTTAGTTGTAACTCTCGACCTCACACCACGGTAATCAACGCTTTCAAAGATGTAAACTTAAGGATGTGAACTTAAGAGAATGTCAGCATCATCGTGTCAAAACCCTAAAAATGATTAAAGTCAACACCCCCAGCTCTGAGACACCGGCGGCAGCAGCAGCAGCAGCAGCAGCAGCCAGAGCAGCAGCCACAGTAGCAGACACATGTCACCACCTAGCCAACCACCCACCTCGCCCTTGTCAAGCGCCGGATGGTTCAGAATGATATCGCGGATGACTGCGTACGACTGCTTGCGGTACTCGTGCACCTCCCGTACAGGCGGCCAGTCGTCACGGCCACGGGACAGGTCGTCCCAGCTCATCTCATCGACACCCGTCTCGAAAAGCTGCGTTAGCCCACAACACACGAAAAGCCACGAGGGGTTGCGGCGACGGTTATAGCGACGCAACGCAGCAAAGGACAGAGAAAGGAGCGAGAGGCAAACACGGCAACACAGTCCTAAACAAGTGATGTTCAAACCTGTGCGCACAGGAACCGATTTACAGCTTGCTAAATCTTTTCAAATACCACAATTGAATCAAACAATCCTTTAAGGTCAAGGGTATATACTGATGAGGGTCAGCGCTGAAATAAAGCAACAACGAAAACAACCCGACCGAGTGGTAAGAACCCGCAACGGCGGCCCTGCGTTATCATAAAACAGCCAGCACCCAACACCGTTTTTAAAAAATCCAAGTTCTTATCTCCTCTAAAGGTTTGCTGCTCAAGGAGCGCCCAAAGAACCTCAGTGACCATGCCCGCTCGTACAGTATGTACTTACGCACATACGTATGACCATGCCCGATCGTGTAGTATGGTCGGAGAGGTGCCACAGCTATTAGTAGTCGTCACCGGTGCTACGGCCGCCACCTACCTGCTCAAAGTACTGGTTGATCCCCTTCTCCAGCAGGCCCGCCACCCGAAATTTGTTGATGTACAGCACCGCTGGGTGGCCGTAGTAGAACATCATGGGGTGACGCAACTGGTGGTACGGCTGCCGGATAAAGGCATCCGCGGTTTGCAAGCTTGCAAACAAGACCTCCGTTAGTGTCCAGATGTTATCAAAGTAGTCAAGCACGCTCTGCCGCGTGAAGGAGCGCAAGTTGGGGAGCGGTAGAGAGCGGAGGACGCCAGCCTTGGCATCGAAACCCGGGCAATCCATGGGCGCCTTGCCGGTCCACCACCAGCTGCCGCGGGGACCCACAAGCTCATCGTCCGCAGAAGGGCCGGTGATAGCAGTGGCGGCACGCGCGAGGTCGGGCCGGATGTTGAGCGACGGGTTCCGGCATGCGCCCAAGTCAACGCGTTGGGTGGTCGACATTTTGATGAAAGGAGTTTATTCCTGCTAGGAAGATGTGAAAATTTGGAAATTTATATATGCCTTGCCTATCCGTGAAGTCAGGCAGGGAGACGGATATGGAACACAGCAGTGCTGCGGTACAAACTGACAATTGCTTAAACGTCATCGCGTGATCCGTACTCACTACTAACTTATTGTGGGGAAGGCCATTGCGTCTGCGACCACACTCCCGCGGTACCCAAACCCTTCAAAGACAATTCCGATCAGCCATTTGGCTGTTAGTGGGAGGGCGGGTGGGCCGCTCGCACGGCAATCGAGTAGAGAGTACGAAAATAACCTAATGCAGTCATCGACAGCAGAAAACGTAAGCCTCCAGCCTCATGCCGACTCTCTTACCTACCATTCATATTCTCTACCTCGTTCCCAAGACTCCGCCGCGTTGCCTCTAGTTCGGCTCGTGCCACAGGTAACTTCGCTCGTCGCTACTTTGCCATTCACCTTCGCCTCCACCCAGCCTCTGCTTCTCCACAGAAGCGGCGACCTCCTTCGCCGTTGTTACGCCTCGTCTATGCGAATCCTCCTCATCCGACTGTGTCTTCTGCCTACCCGGTGCGCGCCCCCTCTCTCTGCGCATCCTTTTCTCTGGCCCTCTCTTACGGTTGCCTACCTTACTGCAGGACTCGCCCCTTGCCTGTCCGGTGCCGGGCAGGCTTTCCTTGCCTTCCCCGGCCCTACTTGGGGCGCCCCTCCTCGGCTCGTCAACTACCTTACTTCCGTCCGTTCCTGCCCCTCGGGGGCCCAACCCCTCCGCCCTTTCCGTGGGCCCGACGCCCGCTCTCGGACTTTCTCACGCCCCCGGCCTCTCCGATGCTGCCCCCCCGGTAG